AGAGGGTTTGTTTCTGTGAAATGGGGGTCCAAGATTTCTGGGTTTTCATTTTTGTTATTGGGTTTTGCTTCCAAGCTCGGATTTTAAGCTCTCAAAACCTGACATGCAATCCCAACGATTTGAAAGCATTGGAGGATTTCAGGAACGGTATAGATTCTGTGATTGATGGGTGGGGCAGCAAATTTTCACCTGATTGCTGTAAATGGGCAGGCATCACTTGCAATTCTTCGTCCTCTCTCGGATTGAACTATTCCATTGATACTTATAGAGTGGTAAAACTGGAGCTTCCAAAGAGAAGGCTACTGGGGAATCTCTCTGCATCTTTAGGGACCTTGGACCAGCTCAGAACCCTCAATCTCTCTCACAATTTCCTCAAGCACTTGCTTCCCTTTTCGCTCTTCCATTTGCCAAATTTAAAGCTCTTAGACTTGAGTTCTAATGACTTTTCCGGCCCCATTCCTGTCGATATCGATTTGCCTTCAGTCCAGTTCATTGAAATTTCTTATAACTTTTTGAATGGTTCCCTTCCAGCTAGCATCTGTGACAGTTCTACTCAGCTTCGAACTCTGAAGTTGGCTGTGAACTACTTCTCTGGTAACCTCCCACCAGGTCTTGGCAATTGTATTTCCTTGGAGCACCTCTGTCTAGCCATGAATAATTTCAATGGCAGTGTACCCGAAGGTATATTTCGTCTGCGAAAGCTAACCCAGTTGAACATTCAAGATAACAAGTTGTCAGGGGCCCTCAGCGAAGAATTCGGTAATCTCAGTAACCTTGTTCGTTTGGATATCTCAACTAATGGGTTTTCAGGAACTATCCCAGATGTTTTCCACAGCCTTGGAAGATTACAGAATTTTGTGGCTCATTCAAATCGTTTTGGTGGTCGGATACCCCCTTCTTTGTCGAGTTCATCGACTATCACTTTGCTTAATTTGAAAAACAATTCATTGCAGGGCACAATTGATCTTGATTGTTCAGCAATGACTAGTTTGACCTCTCTTGATCTCGGTTCCAATCGGTTTGATGGGCCTATTCCCTCCAATCTTCCCTCCTGTCAACATTTGAATACTGTCAATCTTGCCCGTAACAACTTCACTGGTGAAATCCCAGAAAGCTTCAAGAGTTTCCATAGCCTCTCTTACATCTCGCTGTCAAATTGCAGCCTTTCCAATATCTCTTCTGCCCTTCAAATTTTACAGCAGTGTCAGAACCTGACTACTTTGGTTCTCACCTTGAACTTCCGCAGCGAACAATTTCCTGCTGATCCAACCCTTCATTTTGAAAAGTTGAAGGTTCTTGTTATTGCAAACTGTAGGCTCACAGGTGTAATACCCCAATGGTTGAGTACTAGCAGCAGATTGCAGTTGTTGGATATATCATGGAACCAATTGGAAGGAACAATTCCAGTCTGGTTTGGTAATTTTAGCAGTCTTTTCTACTTGGACATGTCTAATAATTCCTTAACGGGGGAAATCCCGAGAAGCTTAACTGGACTCCCGAGCCTCATTAATGGGAGGATCTTCATTGAGGAACCTTCACCTGATTTCCCTCTTTTCATGAAGAAGAATGTAAGTGCACGAGGGTTGCAGTACAATCAAGTTGGGAGCTTTCCACCAACGCTGGAACTTAGTAACAATAATCTTAGCGGACCAATCTGGCCAGAGTTTGGGAAACTGAAATCGCTTCATGTTTTGGATCTGAAGTGCAACAATCTATCAGGACCGATTCCGAGTAATTTATCTGGGATGGCAAGCTTAGAGACTCTGGATTTGTCTCATAACATGCTTTCAGGGAACATACCGCCTTCGTTGGTCAAACTCAACTTCTTGTCCAAGTTTAATGCTGCAGACAATCAGTTATACGGGGTGATCCCTACAGGAGGTCAGTTTTGGACCTTCCCAAATTCAAGCTTTGAAGGGAACAATCTTTGTGGCGACCATGCGCCCCCATGTCCATCAAATGTGCATTATCCCCCTGGGAAGCCCAGCAAAACAAGGAAAAATAGAGGAGTTGTTATTGGTATTGCTGTCGGAATTGCATTTGGAACAGCATTTGTTCTTGCTCTCATGTTCATAATTGTGGTGCGGGCACATAGCCGGAGAGAGGTTGATCCTGAAAGAGAGGACCACGATACCAACGGGAAGGATTTGGAAGAACTCGGGTCAAAACTAGTGGTTCTGTTCCAAAACAAGGATGCTAATAAAGAGCTCTCTCTTGATGACCTTCTACAATCTACCAACAATTTTGACCAAGCAAATATCGTCGGTTGCGGGGGTTTTGGTCTGGTTTACAAGGCCAGCCTTCCTGATGGTAAGAAGGTTGCTATCAAGCGGCTTTCTGGTGACTGTGGCCAGATGGACAGAGAATTCTGCGCTGAAGTTGAAACCTTGTCAAGAGCTCAACATCCAAATCTTGTACCTCTTCAGGGTTATTGCACGTATAAAAGTGACAGGCTCTTGATATATTCTTACATGGAGAACGGTAGTCTGGATTACTGGTTACATGAGAAAATCGACGGTCCAACCTCTCTAGATTGGAATGTGAGGCTTAAGATTGCTCAAGGGGCAGCGAGAGGGCTTGCTTATTTGCACCAGTCATGCGAGCCCCACATCCTTCATCGGGATATAAAGTCAAGCAACATCCTTTTGGATGAGAATTTTAAAGCGCACTTGGCGGATTTTGGTCTTGCAAGGCTCATACACCCGTATGCTACTCATGTAACAACTGATCTTGTTGGGACATTAGGCTACATCCCTCCTGAGTACAGCCAAGCCTCTGTCGCTACTTACAAGGGCGATGTGTACAGTTTCGGGGTTGTTCTTTTGGAGCTGCTCACCGGAAAAAGGCCGATGGATATGTGCAAACCAAAAGAATGTCGGGATTTGATCTCGTGGGCATTTCAGATGAAGAGGGAAAAGAAGGAAAGCGAGGTGTTTGATCCATTCATTTGTGACAAGCAGCACGATGAGGAACTGTTGTGTGTTTTTGAGATTGCATGCCTTTGCTTAAGCGGAAGCCCGAAGGTGAGGCCTTCAACTCAGCAGCTAGTTACTTGGCTCGACAACATTAACACCAAGAAAGTTTAGCTTTGTTTTTTAGATAATGAAGCCAGGGAAACCCTGGTTGTACAGCAACATATCTTACTTGTATAAGAAGTTATATTTCCTGATCTATAAATTGTTATATTTGCATTCTCAACGTTGGTTTTTGTTGTAAATATTTATCCTCGACGGAATTGGTTTCGTATTGTCGCCGTGCGGCATATCAGCAACGACAACGGTTGTAAGAACGTGCTTCTTTTTCGTGTAGAAATCACTTCTACTTTTAAGCGCCTTTAACATAAACGCTTTTATATAAACCTGTCAAAAGGTGCTTCTCCAAAAAGGCGATTCCACAACTGCAAATCGCTTTTAAGTTTTTCTACCAAACGTTTCAGAAGCAAATCCCAAACAGGCACTCTGTTATCTTTCTTTGCTTTAGAGTTCAAACATCTTGAAGACAATAGGCGACCGTTGAAATTTTGGACGTAGCCAATTGACAATTGCAATGTCGTGCATTCCCCCAAACCCATTCACATCGACATCAATTTATGAAAGAAAGTCTACAAAACCGAATTTGTTTTCTCTCTAGACCTTACTGTCCGGAGCCTAAGAATCACGAAATCTGGTTCTTAGTTTGTTTGAAACAGACATCAAAGTCCTTGTGTGTGAGGTAATCGTTGAAATTTGGACGTAGCAATTGACAATTGCAATGTCGTGCATTCTCCCAAACCCACTCACATCGACACCAATTTCTGAAAGAAAAGTCTACAAAACCGAATTTGGTTTCTCTATGTACCTTATTGTCTGGAACCTAAGGACCATGAAATTTGGACCCTTGGTTTGTTTGAAAGAGAGATCAGAGTCCTTGTTTGAAAGAGAGATCAGAGTCCTTGGTTTGTGTGAGGTGAGCCAGCAGAATGAGTTAAATGGTAACGGTCGTATTCAATTTGAGTGGTTCTTAGACTACGAGAAGCGAAATCCCAGATGATGTATGTCCTACAAAACCACAAATGTAGTCATATATTTTTTTTATTTGTTCATTTGACATTTAATTAATTAACTAAAATTATGGTGTTAGTCAGAAAGGATGACGTGATGGACCAACTCTTGTGTCTCACGGGATTTCTTTGACGACCGGTGGTCTAACACTATGTTTGGATGAAGAAATTTAACATTACTAAGGAATTTTAAAATGACGGAAATTGAAATGAAGGGATTTTATTTTCTAGAATTTTTTAATTTTGTTGTTTGGTTAACTTAAAAGAATAATAGAATTGAAAACGGAATTTGTTAATTTTAAACTCTCAATCATAGAAATTGGGAAATGACACCTATTTACATGAAATTTAAACTTGGAAATTGGAGGCCCCAAATTCCAAGTTTTTTTTTCCACGCGAAAATTCTAAATTTCTATGTTATAAATCCAAACAAGAGAATTTGTGCATGTCAATTTATAAATTCTGACTTTTATCCAAATTCCAAGTTTATTTCACTCATCCAAACAGAAAAAAGAAACCCGCAAACTATACAGGACGGAAATTTCCATTCGTATTTGCAAACCAATACCTTAAACAAACCATTTATCCACTTGTATTTTTCCAGCCAGCCTTATACGCTTTCAAATTGACGAGCAAGTGTGAATCGAGAAATTTTCTGACATAAACATCCACACGGCTGTAGATAAACTCGAAAACAATATCGGGGCACATGATTTGGTGGCCTGCGAATTGCGATTGCCAAACAATAAGATATGACATGCCAGTTCTACTACATTTTTAATGCCAGCTTATATGCACAGAGAGAGAGAGAGAGAGAGAGAGAGAGAGAGAGAGAGAGAGAGAGAGAGAGAGAGGAGAGAGACAGAAGTACACAACACATCGAAATCTGATTTCGTAAATACATGTTAAAGAACAACAAAAGAAAAGAAGAACAGATTGAATCATTCGTGTTTGTCTAAAAAAAAGAAAGAAATATTTGGCACTTGAATTGATAATATCTGTTCTGAATAATTTCTAAGCATCCACAAACAACCAGAAATCTTGCAAACAATGGGCACACATATTATGAGATGGTCACTTCTTTGAACAAAAATGGCACATTGTATGAGGAGGAGGAGGAGAACGAGGATATTATTATCTATCGGCGTATCAGGCATTGGATTCCATGTCATCTTCCATCTCATGCACAGCTTGAAGTGGAACACTTCCAGACATAAACCCACTCTCCGATAGATTATTCAAAGGACCGTTTCCAAACAAGCATACCTGGGGCTCGATCTGGTTCAAGCGGTTCCACTCATCATCTGATAGAGACCAACTGAAGATGTCTATGTTTTTTCTTATCCTATCAGGCTTCAGGCTGCAAGGCAGCACACTGGTTCCTCTTTGCAGCCCCCAACACAAAATCACCTGAAACAGATATCAAGTGTGACTCAAATCACAAGCACTGCCTTTATTTCTGGTACTGATTGAGGACAGAATCATCTGGGAATAAGTTTTGGTCTCCTATGCTTAGTAGCGCATTCATGTTTTAGCAGCCAAAAACCCAGTGGCGGTTTTGATATTTAATGGAAACACAACTGGTTCCACCTTAGGTGCTTAGTCTGAAAAGTACCATTGCATGAAGGGCTGTAAATGTTTTATGGCCCAAACCGATACAGAAAAATCTGAAACTAGAATGATCGGGACCCTAAAATATGTAATGAAGCAAAACACTATTGCAATCAGAGCATCCACATATTGAATTCATGCAATTGCTTTTTCAAATTTCTGACTGCCTGAATTGCTTTGCATTAAAAAGCACAAACGATGAAGATGGTGGTTTCCATCCCTACCATAACCATGCTTGCAGAATTTAAAGATGAAAAGTAAAATGTTGAAAAACACCAATTACAAAATTCTGGCTCATGTGTAGTACAAATCACCAGCGAAACTATAACTTCCAAACACGTACCAACCCCATCTCATTTCTAAACATAAATGTGCCACGCCTAGCTTAGATAGCATAGTCACTGGCGGACCAAGCATACCAAGTTACCAACACCAGGTATAACCCCTCTCCTTAAATACGTATTATTGTGTAGTTTCTGTTTTAAGTATAACATTCCTTAGGACATCACCAATAGCAAAAATAGCATAGAGTTATTGGTGGGGCAAAGAAGAATGAAGAGAAACTAATGTTGATTCAGCATATTATTGAGGTCCTAATTCAATGAGGGATCCACTCCAGACCTTTCGGTTTATAATCTAGTTATCTCCAGTCTTGGTTTATATCTTCTGAAAGTCAATCTTGCAAGTTCAACCTATCTATAGCAAGGGGATAATGGCACAAACTTCAGACTTCGGGAAATTTTATAGAAGTCTACTCTGATATGGGTCTTGAAATCAAAAGGATATTCAAATTATGTAATATGAATGGTACCTCCATTTCTGGTACATAGCTTGAATGACATGAGTAGTAAGGAGAAAAAGAAAGGACTGGAATCTAAAGTACCTGCTCAGGTGTTTTTCTGTGTCGGTCTGCTATCTCTGAAACTGTTGATATTTTCAGCATAGGCCCATGCACAGACCTTGACCTCCTGAATGATATGCGAGGAGTTCCAGGTTCATCTTCCCCACCTGAACTGCTATCAGATGGTCCAGGAGTAGAAGTTGGGACTCCTAAGGGTGTGTGAGCAGACACATGGATACCTTTCAATTGACAGAACTTTACAAGTTCATCTTGCCTCCAAAATGGGTGCAACTCCACCTAAAAATCATAAATCAAAAAAGCAACCTGAATTATGTTATAATATCATAGATTGAGTAGCTTCAAGACCAGACCCTAACAATCTAGATTGAAACAATGATGATTGGATACTAATTAAAATCTAGCAAAGATGAATGTAAAAATGCAGCCACTGTACTGGAAAAGAGTTGGGTTTCCAGTGTCAACATTGAGTCAGAAAGAAAGTCATGAGAGGTTTTAGTCCTACAAATCAGTCTCTTTTCAATAAAATTAGATTCAAGTTTCAACTAGTTTTGGAGCACAAATGCAGTGACGTTGGCAATATATATTAGAAAGGATGTGATATCCACACACCTCATTTTACTTCTCACACACCTTTTTAATTTTCGGCCGTCAAATCGGATGAATTGAAGAAGATCAATGGACAGAAATTATCAAAGGGTGTGTGAGAAGTAAAATGGGGTGTGTGGATAGCACACCCCTATTAAAATATCAAAGAAAGTTCAAAGATCGGTGAAGAGGTAAAATTCAGTCTTTAAGTTCATTTTCCAGCCAGACTGTGCTAGTAGGCCAATTCTTACCAACTCAAATGATGTTTTTCTGTATTTCACATAACATATGTATACCCAATTACCCATTTACCCAAGTAGAACCTAAATGAGCTGCTTCAATACAGGTTATGTTATGCAATATTGTTATATAAATGCAGGTTCCTTCATGTTGCACTGAATCCCACCGTTCAACACTTACAATTACTAGGACCGTCAACCAAATAATGGAGAAAGTGCAGGACATGCTTTGTTCATGCGAGTAGATTGTAGCAAAATAGTTGCTGAAAAACCTACTTATCTAACTAGATTTTCTCGTCAAATGTTACTAGATTAAGTCACTCGTCTACTCTAACATATTAGACCCATGGATCGACTTTGTAATCAAACAAGAAGCAGAAAAGGAAAAATAAAGATATGGAAATACATTGCATCATTCAAACAATAATAAATACTTATAAAAGATGCTGAAATGTTAAAAATAGCAAGAATGATCTACCGAAACCAACCTGATTGACAGCAGGTACAATCTTTGCAAATTTAAGCAATTGTTTGATTTGTGAAACACTGAAATTGCTGACCCCAATAGCTCTCACCAGACCCATCTCAACCAGACCTTCCATAGCTTTCCATGCTTTCTTCAACCGATTCAAGAATTGCCTATACTCACTCCCAGACTTTGAAGGAGGATCAGTAGCATCACCAAACGCCGAGCTGTCAGGCCAATGCATCAAATATAGATCCAAATACGAAACTCCAAGATTCTTAAGAGAAACTTGAACATAGTTCTCGATTTTATTGAGAGAATTCATTGTGCAGTAGAGCTTAGAAGTCAAGAAAACGTCTTCCCTCTTCAGTGAACCCTTAAATGCTTCAGCTAATGCTTCCCCAACTTCGATCTCATTACCATAAAGATGTGCACAATCTATATGGCGGTAACCAACTGATAACGCCGTTTTTACGGCTTGAACACAAAGGTCTCCACCACTCTGCCATGTCCCAAGTCCAATGGCAGGAATTCTATGCCCTGTGTTTAACACAAAGTAACTTCCTGGTGTTCCAAACTTTCCCTTCATCCTCGAGTTTCAGAGCCAATCGGGTAGACTGTAAATAACCAAGCAATCCTAAATCCCAGAGTGCAACAATCAAATCGAAATTCCAATAATTCAGCTATATTAACAGGTGAAATATGAGCTCCAAGCAAACTATCAAGAACCCAAAATCTCAGAAACGGGGACAAAGTATGCAAATCAAGCAAATACCCAAATAATCAAACACCAAAAACTGAGAAACCCAAGTCGCAGAAAATCAAAAGAAGACTTCCAGACCAAAAAAGACTGCAACTTTGACTACAAAATTGCCCACAATCTGTATGTCAAAATGTCAGAAAGAGAGCTCACCACGACAAGAAGCGAAAGAAAAAGCCAATGCTGAATCAAACAATCAAGCCTTTTTCGTTGGAAACCAATAGAAGCGTATCACAATTGCTGAAGTGTGTACGAACATATTCAATCAAGGGGTCATGGTCAACAACGGCCGCGCAGAGAGAGAGAGAGAGAGAGAGAGAGAGGAAAGGGAAGCCCCCAAAACACAAAACAAAAGGCTTAGCTGTGATATCAATCTCTTTCCATGAGGAAAATGCAAAGGACAAACGCTGCTATGCTCTCTGCGTCTAATTATATATATTACTAATACTTAATTAATTGTCATTTTCTAATAAAATTATTGTTTTTTTTTTTTTTTTTTGGAGAACATAAAATTATTGTTTTGAGATGGAAAAAGTTAGAGAGAAAGAGAAAGATGGGGTTAGGGGATATAAAATTCAATGTTTAACCCACCTAACTTCGACCACCCACCACCCACCCCCCCACCCAACCTAAAACGACATTCATTGACGATTTGATGTCTTTTTTCTCCATACAAGAACGTATGTACAAATCAATCAATAAATAAACATGCAATGTCTTTGTTTCGACGTGACAATCTTTTTCTAATCATGTTTGTGAAAGTCGTAGCAAATGAGGAAAAAAGGAAAGCTTTTGCCATAACGTACCGGTAAAAGCAAACTGCTTTTTCTTCCACTTTTGGGTTCGGATTCTTGTACTCCAACTTTGACTCTACGTCGCCGGTCGGTATTATTCATCATTCATTAATGTGATCATATATAGACCAGTGATGAAAGTACACTTTACCAATTTTTCCGGAGCTGATAGATCTAGCAGTTCTGACCATTCAATTTAAGTTATACGGTCTCTACTAGCCCCATTTTATTGATTTACGTGTCACAAAAAATCACGCTCTCATCTCTCTCTTGAGCGCTCCAGATAGTTAGGTTCGTCGGGTCAAAAGTATGAAATTCAGAGATGATATAATCGAAATAAGATGGAGTCGGAGTAGGCTTCACTAACTCAGAATAGAAACAAGATGAAATGACAATAAGTTTAGCCACAAGGCTAACTTAATGATTAAGCACTCGTAGGGTGAAATTTTCCAGCTCGAGGTGACACTCAAAATTTCCGGCCAACATTCAAACTTAAAAGCATGTGAAGAACAACCGAGTCTAATAGAATGGACTTATAACTAAATAGGTGCATTAAAGTGATTGGTTGTCCAATTGATCAGTTAAGTGGGTAGTGATTCATTATCACCTCATGTTGAGTCAAATAAAACACACACTAAGCTTTCAGGTTAGTAAGGTATCCCACCCGTTGAAAGCAGTTAGCAAATCACCTTATGTAGTTGACCCTAAAAATTACCAAGCCTACGTGGCATGCAGGCCGAGTAATTAATAAACTAACTACGTCCTTCAGTTGTGTGCGGAGCATGCCAACTCGTCGGCCGAACTCGGCCAGGGAGTAGAATGTATTGATGTCGCGTTGAGCGCACTGTTGACTTCTCGATCTTGCGACTGCAGTCGAGGAAGGAATACGTCTCGGCCTTTGGGTTCTAGAGCCTGAAGACAAGGCTGCTAGTTCTACGAAGTTCACAAATCGTCAACGCCAAGTTCGGTCACAGTGATTATATTCGTGAAAGTATAAGCACGCTGAGTTCGGTCATATGAGATATATGTCTTGATTGTAAATGTGGTTCGATCGTCGAAATGTCAAACCTTAAAAGATACTTGTGAATATCCAATCATAAAACAACTCGACGTTCAACGTGCAGAGCCTAATAACCTGTAACACCTCACTTCGCCGAGAAATATGATGAAATGACCTCCACCAACAAGGACTCAAAAATCCTTATCGACCGAGATTTGGATAAATAACTAGTAGGTCTCGAAACAATGTTGTTTATCCAAACTGAATGTGCTCTTTGATCGGCTTATTCTACAAATCTAGTGTTGTTTATCCAAACTGAAGATGTCGTTGGTTGCCTTCACAGTGCTATTTATCCAAACTAAAGATGTGTTGGCGAGAAGAAAGGGGAAGAGGATATTATCTCAAAGCTTGTTGAGAAACTTTACGTAGAGCAATTTGTATATTGAATTGGAGGGGCTTGAATGATGCACTCTCTTCTCTATTTATAGCAGCAAATCCCCTCACGTCCGAACTAGAAATGGACTAGGATTTAAACTCCTCAATCCAATCCGATCAGGTTTCGACCAATCCTAATTCCTATAGGACTTTAAACTAAGCTTTTTAACAAACCAGATTCATCCCTAATTCTCAGTAGTTTTTAGGCTTAAGATTCCTTGTTGCAAACCTCTTCGTAATAGGATTTGGCCGACCTTGACTGGACAACCCATAACAAGATTATATATGAATACTACTGGGCCAAGAATGACTCTAAGCTGAGCCCAAAATATTATTTTGGGCCCAAACAGTAGTAAAAAAAAAAAAAAGGCGTGGGAAGAACACAGCAGGTGTCTGAGAAAACAAAGCGCAATGGAATAACTACAGAGGTAGCATCCTCATTACACTCCGACATATACCAGTCAGGATAAAGGTAAAGCACCTCCCCGAAAGCAAACCAACATAAAAGGGACAACAAAGGGAACAAAGGGAACAAAGGGAACAAAGAAAAAAGAGAAGGCAGCGAAAGTCCTCCTAAATTAGCGCCTTTATTCAACTGCCACCCATCTGCTTTATTCACTGATCCAACTTTCGAGCTCTCCCAATTTCACCTTCACCATCTCAGCTTTGCAGGAAAGTACTGCAAAACAATAGTCAAATTTTAAGAACACAGAGAACCGATGGGAAAAAAGAACGAAATCAAAATGATCCGATTCACAGAAACGTAAGGAGACGAGAACTCATGATCTTGAATCTCTACCTTCTCAATCAGAGAGAGATAGTAGGCCTTGACTTTCTCAACATCGATGCGAACTTTGCTCTTGCTGTAAAGGTCATACTTGCTGCATACAGAAAAGCAAAGTTAGTTCGTCTGTATTGTTTTATCAAAATTTGTAAACCAGTATGTCGAACATATGTTTGGAAGGATATCGCGTCTATCTTCGGTTACATACAGTCTTATGTTGAGAAGTGAATATTCTTACTTGAATACTTTGAGCCACTTCAAGTTCTCAATGTCCTCTTCATTCATCAAGTGCTTATATGCTCCTGCCTTGTGTAAAGCTGCAAAGTAAATTTGATCCATAAATACTAAATATTAACTTGAAACCGGAGAGAGAGAGAGAGAGAGACAGTGAGTGTGTGTGTTGTGTGTCTACATGTTATGTCAAGTAACGCAATTGAAGGAAAGGGAGCCAACAGGGCTCTTCGCTTTGCGAGGGTAAGGAAATGTACCATAAAATGAATGGTATCTGATAATGAAAAGACCAGCCGAAGGGAGAGTGCTTTTGTTCTCCTTGGCCACCTGTACACACAAAACCGAAGTAAGATTACCATTGTAAGACTGAAAACATTATTAAAAAAGGGTGACTCCCCAACAAGGCTCCCCGCTTTGCAGAAGTTGGTAGAGCATTTGCTAAACGTACCAAGTACATGTAGTCATCGTGGCCCCATGACATCAGTACATTGTCAAGTCCACAGCCCTCAGAATAGATTCCATACTTGGTATTATAAGCAGGATTGTTGTAGTCAGGATTTTCCTTGAAATGCTGCAAGGCCAACCCGATTCAATATTAGAGACTATCTACAAATGAACATAATTTTGGTGAACTGATTCATTTCATACTATGACGATAGAACTTGGTACAAAATTTGTGAGCGAAAGACCTTGTGATGAACAATTGACTCATCGAAGGCACACCCGACAGGAAATGTGTCACCTGTAATTAACAAACAGTCTCAGTTAGTTTCGTATTAATAACGAAATGAAACAGACGACGGATTCAATGACCAAAGGTTAAACAAGAAGATGGTGCTCACCTACAACAGCCCACTGAGGAAGCTCCCCGAAAGCAGGAAGATTAAGAACCTTGCCAAGATCTAAATGTCATGAAGAACAAAGTTTAAGCCAACTGGTCCTCATGATAAGCTAAATTTACAACAGATACGACTCAGATTGGAGAAGCACGTAATTAATTAATAACGATTGCATAAGTATAGTATACCATGGATCAAGGCAGTCAAGTGCAGCCATCCTTCATTAGGATAGTCCTTTCTGATAGCTTCCGCGGTCTGCAAGAGATGCTCGATCTGGGGCTCATCCAAGTCGGGATCACTCTCATCCACAACTTGGTTGAGATGTTCACAGCATTCCCATATGCTCATTTCCACCTTATCCAGTTTTCCATATTCTTTCCTCATCCGCTTCACCTGCAATCAATTGTTAAACATCCAACCAATCATTACATAAAGCAATGACCTAATTAGGAAATCAAAGAAAAACCAAATTAGCAGCTGATTGTTTACAAAGTCGACGCTCTGGTAAATGTGATTGATTCTGTAGAACTCCTCGACCCCATCTCGCCTCTCGCTGCTAACATCATAATCCCTGCATTTGCACGATATAATTTCATATATTCTACGAATGGAAACATTAAAACCAATGAATTGCAACTGTAATTTGCAAATTTCTTAGAAATGGCAAGAACAATACCTGAAAGTGTGGCCGAATGCGTTCGTCGGAGGCTCCACAAACCCACCATCCAACACCAACTCATTTTCCTCGCCAGATTCAGAGACCTTCTCCTCCGCCTCAACCGCTCCTAAAATTCAATTAGTAATAATTCAAGAAAATTATTAGCACCCCTACATGCATGTGTGTGTATATATATATACATATATATAAATATATAAGATGGGGAAGAAATGTACCAAAGTCGGGCTGCTGAACGAGGATGGTCATCCTGCGGAGTCGACGAGCAATCTAAAAGACCGACTGGGGAGAAACGTCGGAGGCGGCGGCGATTGCAATAGCATGGTGAGGGTGTGGGGAAAATGTGAAAGTATTAATAGCTAGCCGGAGAGTCCTTCGCTGAGAATTCCCAGTAACCGAGTCCTTCCCTGACAATTCCCGCTCACCGAGTCCTTCACTGAAAATATTTCCGAGAATCTGTGAATGTGATACGTAAGCCCACCATTTCAGCTGGACATGCAGACATGCTATAATATTAGCTGTCATCCTCTCTCTCCATTTTTTATTTTTCTAAATACGTTTTAGGATAAATATGTTTTTATGACGTCAGGGAACTCGCTGTGGATTTTATCTCGATGCGGATGCTGAGTCAGCTGCCCCTGCGGTGGACGGCTTAGAAGGAAGGACGGTGGACTAGTGGGGCCCGCATGACGTGGTATTGACTAGCCGACTAAACCTTACAGCTCTTCACTTGTTGGGCCTGTTTGAAGGCCCCGAGTCCTTAAACGGTCCGTTTATGGCTCTTTCCCTTTGGGCTTTCTTTGCTTCTAGAAGTACCTTTTTTTGGTAATTCTAATTTTTACTAACCATATTATTTGGTAGATTTTCAATATAATATTTACCATTTTTTTCCTATTTTATTTTTTGTGAATTTGGAGCATTGAAAAGGGCAAGCCTTTGGCGTAAGGAAAAGTTTGCTCCTTTGTAAACAAAAGGTCACATGTTCGAGTCGTAGAAACAAAGCAGTGAACCTTTTTGCTTGAGGTTGCACTAGGAGTGCCTTGAATAAAAAAAAAAGTCAGGCTGGCAAACTTGTGTAAATTTTTATTGACAAGCATATCGTTTATGAAAGCACCAATTACAAAATAAAAATACTGATAAAATCAATAATATGAACATGCCAACACTTTATTTGGATTATTGATTTTGAATGGTCGGACAAGCATATCGTATAGCCAATGTGATTAAGTCCACGCCTACCAAGTAATCCAAGTTTTATAAGTTTCAGTAATCTCATTATGTGCCTTTAATCAGACTCTAAATTGTAAACTACACCTCTAATTTTCCCCGTTGGACATTACCTACCATTCAAAACCTACTTAAAAAATGAGAGGGAAAACCTAACATTCAATTCATACACCAGGTCAGTAGGACTAGTAGAGGGCGGAACCAATTCCTTATATCGTATCGTCAACCATCTACCTTCACAATCCAAATCACTCCAATCCACCATCTCAAACACCTTCATCTCCATTCTTATTCAAACGGATGATGAAAACCGATCTCGTCTGCCGCCTTAGAGTTTCCGGTGCAACCCCCGACGGACATAAACCATTGAAGACGCCCATGGAAGCTCGCAGTCGCGGAACAAGGTACGCTTCTTCTGCCGAATCAAACTACTTCCTACATACAAACCTTTCCATGCAGTCTCAGCAAGAATCATTATATCCAAAGTATATAAAACTATCACAGATTGCACATTTCCGCATCTCATTCAAAAATACAAATGTCCGAAAATACTGATCGATCCCGAGTTCGTGAAATAGAACAAACTAACACACTTTACCTTCCAATCATACATAAAACACTGTTTTTTCAGCCCCCCTTTCCAATCAACAAAGCAACACCAGTCAGTCTGATTCAAGACAATCAAAATAAAAAGATCACGATTCTTACATATTTGACAATCCTTTAAAGCTACCATCCCCTGCTAAGAACCAACACTCAGTATCCAATAAAGCTGCTTCTGAAACCTTTTCCGCCTCTTTCCAATACTTCGTTCTCCCCATTCGGTAGATAAGCATTTCAATGTTGTGTACTGTAAGTCCATTCTTTGTTTTCTATCATCGGATGTTTCTCCATCATCTCAGCGAATCGGGTGATATTGTGTGATCCCACGCTTTGGAGGCAACTTCCTCAAAATGAAAAGGACCAAAGAAGAAGGCAATATCTCCACCAACTGCAAAGAACGCGCAAGGCCGCATGAAAACTTTTAAAGGCGAAGAATTGAAGATCCAATGAAGTTTAATGGGCAAGAAAAGATAGTTTAGCCAACAAAAATATGAACCACATGCTTACTAGGTAATATATAAAGTTTAGAACCGGGTGATTCAAAACATCAAGGTCAGCAGCTTCATCGAATGCATTGAAGCACATCTGCAGCACAAGAGACGAATAATGGAAGCTTAAGTGAGGAAACAATAAATCAGATGCAACAATTCAGCTGTGGCTTTAACATCCAATCAAAATTTTGGTCGTATACTTGTGCACACACATGATATGTACCATCTATGTGGTTTTGATTGTTAAAACTTCGACCTACTTAAAAACATCAAACTTCCTCAAGTTCAAGGATTAGTAGGTGGAATCCAAAAAAATTCAAGCACTTACCATTATGCATCTGACAAGGAAACATGTAAAACATATGGTTGTCACATAGCCAACCTGTCAAATTCAAAAGACACAAAACAAAAGGAAAGTAAGTACATCTGCAATGAGAACTTACGGGTCCTCAAAACAATCTTTTTCAAGTCTTTACCTCCTGCAGCTTCTTACGTCGTCCTTTTGATTCTACAGGAAATCTCTGCAACATCAAGAAGAGTCTGCCGGCAACAACAGCATTAGAACATTGCCCAAATAATCAGTGGACAGGTAAAATTAACTATAGCCTGCACAAGATACTAATCTTCTGAAAGTAATGACATTCCATCACATTAAGGGGATGGTGCAACACAGACGTTTCATCCCTCACCCATCTTACAGGTGCCCAAAATAAATCATTCAAACATCATGAGAGCCATACCTCCCTAAACGACAAAAACCTTGGAGACTAACAAAGTATAGAGGGAGTGAGGAAGAAGTAGAACCATTTTTTCTAGTATAGAGGGAGTGAGGGACAAAGAATTCAGTGGCAGCTGCACATAAGTAACACAACAGGCAATATGACAACTTTCTATGGATCCATCATGTATGATGCATTTATGAAACTATAATTGTTCAAGAAGCCTCAGTATAGTGCTTATTTGTTTCAATTATTTGCTCTTCTGGGCAAGAAAACATTGGCAGGAACATCATATCTATTGAACTTAGGCCACAGCTTCCATGCATCTTAAATGTCCTGATGTGTGATGTTGGTCATGTAGAGCCAAACACGGTATGAATTTGATTCAAACAAGTAAAGTTATGCGGAGGTAAGTGAATTCCAGTTTTTTCTTTTTGTTACAATTTTGCAAGTCAGATGTTTCATATGTCCAAAAAACAGCAGCAAACAACCAAATGCAGAGCAATTACCTTCCACCATATAGAAGAAACCCAAGGGCTGCGAATAAGGACACACCTGCAAGAATCTGTCTTAGAATAACAGATTATCAAGATAAACTACATATCTTCAAAACCTATATGTGCTCAGTGAAAAAATACCTGCAAAGAACATCTTAGATAAGGTGAGCAGAACTGGGATAGGCTTCCACCATAATATCAACCACATAGCAATCTGTAACAAGTAAACCAAAACAAAAATACTATTAGATGATATCAGTAGCATTCCCAACATGTAAACAAGCAACTCCCAGATACTTCACAGTAGTAACCATCAATATTCATAGAAGTATAGAACTACGCAGAAGCATACTACATAGGCGTACTACAATAAGAATAATCAGTACCATATCAATTATAATGAATATCCAAAAAGTAGTCAATGGTCCTACTTCAGCCTGGTACCCCTAACCACTCTGAAACAATCCCCAAATTATTACTATAATTTCTGAAATTTTGAATTCAAATAGTCAATGTTCCTACTTCAAACGGGTACCCCAAAACACTCTCTCCACTGTCCAGTGAAACAATCCCCAAACTATTTACTATAATTTCTGATATTTTGAATTCATCAAGACCAATATTTTGATGTATTTTCAGAGTTTCAATTCAACTCATACATAGGTGGAAATGAGCAGAAACTGTTTTTGACATAATGGGTGGCAAACATGAAAGCTTAACCTAGCAAGACTTTGCAAGAGTGAGAACATGATAGGGTGGAATGACAGTAATTCCCTACATATTGAGGTTTGGATACCAGTGGTTAAGCATAGATTTCATGTGAGTAGGAGCTTAAAATGATATATTTGTGCGCATGGGTGTTTGTCCACAAAGAGAGTGAGGAAGATGATCATCATTTGCATGATGTCACAGAGAGAGAGAGAGAGAGAGAGAGAGAGAGAGAGAGAGAGAGAGAGAGAGGAATGATTCCATTATAGAATATGCAAGTATAGAAAAAGGGAAGGAATGGAAACTGCTTCAACTTTAATTTTATTTCCCTTTTAAGGAAAATAAAAATACAGCATGATTTAGTTCACCTTTCCATCTTCCAAAATAATCTTTAAGTTAGGTGGAATAATATTAGTATAATGTGAAGACTCTTAGTTAATGAGTTTATTAGCAAGGACCTTGAGCAAAGGTCAATTCCAAATAATATGCACGTACACATAGGAGCAGTTTTCTTGCTTTTATAACATTATATAACATGTCAAATGAGAAGGAGACGGCAGGGAAAAGGGAACACACCCTATTGATGCTATATCTAAATCATCCCATTCTTTTCCCTCCCATGCAAAAAAAAAAAGAGCATATAACGGAAAGATATGGATCTGATTGTAAACCTAATTATCCCGCATAAATGAGTTATATATTCCGAGCCAGCATGATATTTAACAAGGGGTGTGCTATCCACACATCCTTTTTTACTTCTCACACACCCCTTGTTAATTTTTGTCCGTTGATCTTCTTCAATTCATCCGATTTGACGGCCGAAAACCAAAAAAGTGTGAGAAAAGTAATAAGGGGTGTGTGGATATCACACCCCTTTAACAAAACCACACCCTTGGGTGCTTCCAGTCAACTGTAGGTCAAAGCATAAAGAGTGCACGCACCTAACAAAACCATTACCCTGCTACCTTTTATTTACTTTCTTGTATTTCACAATATCTAAAAAAAACCCTCGATAAACCCCTTGGGTGCTTCCAGTTAACATAAGCTAAACCATAAAGAAATTCTAAAACACTAACATGCCACTCCTGTTGAATATCGTTTATCCTCCCAAACTTGGTAACTTTATCTAAATTACTTTACTTTCTCTGAGCCCTTAGAACCCATTGAACATATCTATCAGTTTTAATTGCTCGATGGTCATCTGGTTGCACCTATATTTCATCAATATACACTAACAAAAAGTTCTTAGGAATCATATTCATGAAAGGGATCTTGTGTAAATATAAAGAAGGTTTCTTCAGAAACTCTTCAACAGCACTGTTTACAGGGCCAGGGTCCTACATATAATCAAAAAATTCTACATACACGTGAATAAAAGAAATAAATAAACAAATATGGCAAAAAGAAAGATTAAGATGAATGTAATGCTCTATTCAGAACCATGACTTGCTTCCCTGTTGAAGAATCCAACTCCAAAAGCTCCCTTTTGTGGGGACTTAAAGTGAAACAGTTGAGTAGAAATTTCACCTGAATCACATAAACCACAGCATTGACAGTCAAGAAGCTTGGCCTCAGTCCATCTGTAGAAACAGTGCGTGCCTGTTCAATTTACACACAAGGGTTGTAATCAAACCACTTTAATCCAAAACCACCCGCACAAAAGAAATCATATACATGGAGCACTTGAAATGAAATATAACCTGATAGTAAATTTCAGCCCAGAAAAGAACCAAGAGCGCATAGGTAGTGAAGAAGGCAAGACTCGGCATATCAAGCAAGATATGTTTGACAATCTGCCAGGAAAAAAAATTAACTTAGCAGCTATTAAGAACAACTAAAGTTAAGAAAATGGCACCGAAGATAGAATTCAACCTCTGGATGCAGCTTCTGCACTTGCCAGCGGAACACAAACACTGCTGATCGAACTACAAGAATATCAAAAAGAGATAAATAAGTAAACACTTGCACACAACGCATAATCAAGAATGCAATTAAAATCCTGAAACCGAACCAGCCACGATAAATAAGATACAAACCTCCATTGACAACAAAATTAAGAAAGTGGAATACTTTCTGCGTGGTCCAACCGTACTCCGGCACTCTCAATTGTATCCGAATCAATTGAACCTAGTATTGCATAAATACACCAAATTAACATATAATTCTTCACCAAATTTCTACATTAATCTTGAAAGTAATAAATTTCTACATTAATCTTGACATTAATAACAGTACACGATAGAATTAAACATAAACACACACACAACTGCAAAGTGCTCGTATCTTTTCCTTCAAATTCGAAGCAACCAAATGAAAACTACAAATCCTAGCATTCAAGATTCAGAATTCAGCTCGACAAATTAAAATCGTCACTTACAGATAACAGATGTATAAATATATACATACATATATACAAATAGACAAAGATATACATAGAGATTGAGACAAATACCAGGGCAACGACGGCGACGAGACCGTAGAGAATAGCGAGGGCATGAAATATGCGGTTTTGCCAAATAGGGGAGGCATTGATGTCGTGCCACCAACTCGATGCGTCTCTCAGGTTGTACGCTATCACCGCCGACTCCACCACCCCGACTCCGCCGCCGCCGCTACGCGCCATTCGAACCTCCACCAATTCCTACTTTTTTATTTAGTTTTTTTTTTACCAAATTTTTACTCACTTTTCTGAATCCTAAAACCGAAGAGGTTGTCTGAGAATTGAGAAACGATATTGCATTCGCCCCGCGAGAAAGCGAAGAAGAAATAGAGAAGGAACCAATCAAAATCCAAACCAATTTAAATTCAATCGCCAACTCTTTTTTTCTTTCTTTATTTTCTTTTTCTTTTATTTTTTTCCTCACGTGAAGCTGAAAATTACAAAACGGCCGGCAAAAATATGAGAATCCGAGCCCGAAGCGGAGGTGTGGGTTGTTGGGCTTTCTACATTTATGGGCTTGGTGCTGTTGCCTCTCCAACTTTGATTTATTTGGTCCTTATCTGTCTTTTCAACCGGGTTACATTTACACGCGTGACGCGTACGCTCGTCCTGCCGAAACGGCAGATTGTAGACGCTTGCGGGATAGCCACCTCCATCGTGAACAGCCATTTAATATCTTTATGATACTTATCCAATCATATTTTACAAGGAAGAGTATTTTCTCCGAATCCACTTTGTGAGGTTTCTTTTCGTATACACTTTGTGGGATTTTAGGAATCTTTATATCCTAACCATTCATATATGATGCAGTTAATTTTCGTAAAATATTATTTGTGTTTAATTTTAAATAAAAAAAGTCAAATAATTTATGATCGCACGATACACTATAAATGGTTAAGATGTGGGGATCTTAATCCGAATGGAATCCAATTCCATATTATAGCATCTTTAGATTTCAAAATGTTTATATTAGCATTAACAGTATAAAAAATGTAATAATATTTCAACTAATAAACGAAATTTAACATGAATTGACAATATTCACCTTTTTGCCAGATTTACAACACTTCATAATTTCATCTTTTACTAGCATTTGTCTACACACTTTGTGTGTATTTTTTTAGAAAATGAGAAGAAGGGAGGGAGAGAGAATATGGGGGAGTGGAAGGTTTTTGTTTTTTGTTTTTTTTAATTATTTTATATTAGAAATATTAGAAATATTTTAACATCACCTATAGGTGAGGTTTGAATAAAAAACAATAAAATTTAGACATGTGAAATTACATTATTGCCCATCAATTTTTTTTTGTGTGATAAAAGACTAATTTGTCTTTTCACCCCGGGTTTCATTCATTAGTAGAGATAATTAATTATTAAATATTATATCCTTTTAATTATATTATTATTTTTGTTTTAAAACATTTATTATAATTATTTTATGTAATCTCTATTAATTAATGAAACTTCATTTGTCAACCAAAAGAGGATGAAAAGACAACTTAGTCTTCTATCACACAAAAAATATGATGGGCAATAATGTAATTTCACATGTCCAGATTTTATTGTTTTTTATTAAAGTCTCACCACAGGTGATGTTAAAATATATCTAATATTTAAAATTTAAAAAAAAACCTACTACTCCCCCCCACATTCTCTCTCTCCCCCTCCCTCCCTCACTCCTTCTCATTTTCTAAAAAAATGTGTTCGTACAATCAAAATGTGTAGGCAAATACTAGTAATAATTAAACATATACATTAATTGAAGAACAAAATATTAAAAAATGTCAAAATACCATTGTTTAATTTAATTTTATGTTTAAATTTTGACAGTTATTTTAAAGGAAAATTTTGAAAGAGGTCTAATTTTATAGCTCATCTTTTGAAATATGTCTAATTTTTAGTGACTTTTGACTTTTGAAATAAGTCTAATTTTTAGTCCAATTGAACCCATATCAAAAGACCCCTTTTTTAAACTAATTTAAAAGCCTCTACATGGGTACATTTAGGCTACTTTGGTGAGAATTGGACGATAGTAGGACCAAATATGTATTAAAGTATGATAGTCGCGTTTAAGCTTTATGTCACACACATTTTGAAAGAAATTGACACTAAAATAAAAGTTTATATCTCAAATAATGTTAAAAATGGTCAAACCCAACATTCTAAGTTTGACCGTCCAGGTGGTACCAAATGAGTAAATGAAGTTTTGGGGGCATGTGGCCAACTGACGGATTTTGAACGGTCAAAAGAGAAGAAGAAGCCCAATTGGTGTTATTGCCTCATTAAATTTCAGCTTGTCATCTAAAGAATGTTTGCATATCATCAATTCAATGCATACGCAACTCACCAAGTGAAAAACTTTGTGTTGTTTCATGTCTTGAAAATTTCGTTTCGGGCACATTATTGCATATGTTGTACAACTCTTAATGGTTTTACTCATTGCAAGGTTATTTGGCCCGCTCCATATATAAGGTGGCTCACAGGTTGACTAGATTGGGTTTAACTCTCGATGCTTCGATAGCTTGGTTCGACGAACCTTCTGATTTAATAACAGACCTTTTAATTGAGAATGGTAATCATATGTAATCTCTCATGATGTGGGACGCTATTTTTCTCTTCATCCAGGTTAAATCTCCGACAAAGTTTTTATCGAGGGCCAATATATGCACCTGTTATGTTTTTACGTATTTCAATCTTCTACCAATGAATATCATACTTTTACTCAAAAAATCATATTTTCCTTGAAAAATGTAATGTTTCTTATTTAAATGCATTAAAAAATTGTTGAAAAGGTCAATCTGACACATTACTAATTAATATCGATAGTATCTCTAATTTAATCGTTTGTATAGTCTAATAAATAAAAGTCTCTGATTTAGTTAGTACTATAAATATTCAATAAAAATTGAATTTAATTCGGTGTGATGTGAACTTTTACATTCTTTAACAAAATCATGAATTGATAAATTGTAAGTACATTAAAGACTCATCATCCGCACAATATTTCCAACAATGTCACGAGGACCGTATGTATTTGGAGACCGATCATCTAACTGTAAACATCAACGGTCTTGTGCAAGGTAAAACTTGTTCTAATCAATTAACCCTACCGAGCATCTTTTGCTTGCGACGGTGTCTATCAAGCCATCAAAAAAACAAGATCTCTTCTGCATTGGGATCCTGGGCAGACACAAGGCCCATCCCACGCCCAAATTATATAAAAAAAATAGAGCATCCAATGCCTATTGGTTCCTAATTAGAACCCAGATTTTATCCGGATCTAATGATTATGAGCCTAATGATCAAATAATTCGGACAGTTGAAATTTGATTCAACGATTATAAATAGGAGGTTCATTTAAAAATTATAATAATTATAAACATTAGATCAAATTTTAACGGCTCGAATCATTAGATTCTTAAGTTTAGGATCATTAGATCGGAGAGGTTATGGTTTCCCTAAATTAGTGATAGCTCTATTTTTCGCAACTGGTTTTGATTCCTGTGTTGTGTCAAACCAATTAAAGCGGAGGGAGCTAAAAGTGGACTATTTTCAGAGGGTCCAAAGCCTTTACGTTGTCTGCAAGAATCAATAGTTTCCTGAAAAAGTGAAAGACCGACTGACTGCGACCTGACTTTCCTTCCTTCCCCCACTCACTGCAGTCTGTGTACGACCCTCAGTCACTCTCTGCAACTCACAAGGTCCTCAAAACAGGCAAAAGCAAGCTCACCCACCCACGCATTCATTCATTCATTCATTCTAGAGAGAGAGAGAGAGAGAGAGAGAGAGAACGATTGACTGAAATTCTACATCAACACATTGAGTTGCATGATATTATCACCCCCTTCCATGGATTACGAAAGGATCCAAAAACCTCAGGTGTCGCTCTCTCTCTCTCCTTTTTTTTCCCAGCACAATGTTTTCGTTTTTTTTGTTTTAACTTTTTACTTCTCACATTCCTTCGTTTTCAAATTTATTGTGCAAAATCCAACATGTCATTCTCTTATCTCAAAAACCCATTATTTGTCTCTGTCGATTTCACGAATTTGCTTCAAAGATTTTAATTAGCTTTCTCATTTATTGGGTACAAAAACAAAGACCCATTTTTGGGTTTATCGGATTGCTTATTGGGTATATGAAAGTGCAGGTGGGAGGTGGGGGATTTTCACCAGGGAAGCTGAGGAGTATGCTACTGGGAGTGGAGAAGAAGAGGAAGGAAAAGGAGGATTCTGAATCTGCATTCACTCTCAGATCTCAGCCTCCTGACTTTGATGATCAAGCTGGTTAGCTCTTAATTTTTTCCTTTTTTAATTAATCAGTGATTATTTGAATCTTAGATTTCTTAGTCTCTGAATTAAGCTACTGGGTCAAGTGGCGATTCCGGTTTAGTAGAAAGTAGTCAAATTTAAGTAGTGAACGATTGCTTGATGCATTTGTACCAGCCTAACTAAACTTAAAACTTTGTCATTTCAGTTGGGTTGCTGCGAAAAAAATAATAATAATTGATGTTCTTACCCTTTGGATGTTTGACTGGATTCTTGCAGGGGGTGGTGGTTCTGATGACTGTAAAGATGTAGATGTTGTGAGTGTTCTTCCCAAATGCTCGACTTCGAATGCTGCTGACTCATTAGGCCCGAAGATGGGTAGTGACCGGCGATTGAAGGATAGCGCATCAGTCAATTCAAGAATTAGGAACCAAGAAGACCCTTCATTAGATTATGATAGTGGGCATGATGCAATGGGTGTGTCCTCATCCATGTTTGAGTTTCAGAAGGCAGAGCGTGCCCCACAAAGGGTGCCTCTTGTGCCGTTCTCCAAACCAGCACCGTCCAAATGGGATGATGCTCAGAAATGGATAGCAAGCCCAACTTCGAACCGGCCAAAGATGGGGCAGGCTCAAATGCAGGGTGGGCAAGGAGTTGGATCGCGAAAGGCTAGTAGCTTTGGTTATGGGAGTAAACAATTGAGCACAAAGGTTGTTGTTGAAGTTCCAGATCAAAAAGTAGATATTTTTGAAGAACCAGATACGAAGCGAATTGACACAAATCAATCTAAGATGGAAAGTGGAGGGCAGAAGTATGTAAGTTGGGAGAATGATCCATACCCCATTGCCGATTCATATGGCAAATCAGTGCTCATGGTTGAGAACTCTGTCGGAGAGTCAGCAAGTAAGAATTTGGTTTTCTTGTTTACTTCAGTTGAGATTCTTGTTTCATGACTGCATCATTATTTATAGAATAAGATGTTCAGCACTATAAATCAAGCTAATACCTAGCGGGAATTTCACTTGGTTCAGTGTTCTAGAATGTTTTTTTTACACTTTCGGTTGCTCGCACAGATCTTCGATACAACTTTTTGATACATTACCATTTTATTATTGAAATCCATGCTTACTAGGAACTGAGTCGGTTTCCACCATGTCCTTACTGGAGTCTGGTGTGGGAAATTATTTGAAGAACTATGGGTTGTTCTTGTGTTATATCATATCGTTAAGTGAGGCCTACCAGAAAGTAACTGCTTTTATAGTTGTTTATAACACTCACCGATCTTCCTGCCTTCTCGTAAATTAACTTTACAAAGTGAGCTTTAGGCGACAATTTGGAACTAACTAGCTGCACAATTTGCATATGATTTTCACAGTCAATCTTAGCCAGCATGATTCTTCTACAGCGTTTCATGGAACAACCACATTTATTCCTCCTCCTTCAACCGCAAGATCTGTCTCAATGAGAGATATGGGTACAGAGATGACACCTATTGCTAGCCAGGAACCCTCCAGGACTGGAACTCCCGTGGGGGCAACAACACCGATTCGCAGTCCTACTAATTCAAGGCCATCAACTCCTAGCAGAGCTGCACAAGCTTCACCTCCGATCAACCAGAATCCTAACAAGGAGTTGTCTGAGAAGGAGTTACAAATGAAAACTAGGAGAGAGATAATGGTTCTTGGGACACAGTTGGGTAAGATGAACATCGCTGCTTGGGCTAGCAAAGAGGAGGATAAGGGTGCATCCACGTCACAGAAAACTGCACTGGAAGAACAACCAGGGAAAAGCATTGTTGAGACACGTGCAGCAGCATGGGAGGAAGCTGAGAAAGCCAAGTATATGGCTAGGTGAATTCACATCCCCTTCTTTTGTTTCTTTTTTGTACAGTATCCATCTCTTACCACTGTAACTGGATTGTTAGATAATGACACTCGATTTTTAGGGACAATTGTTATTTATGCTGCATTTTCAAATTGTGGAATGATCATGTGTCCATGACTGCAATTATCCAGGTTCAAGCGTGAAGAGATGAAAATACAAGCTTGGGAAAATCATCAGAAGGCAAAAACAGAAGCTGAGATGAGGAAAATAGAGGTATTTATAGTAGCTTTCTGTTGGAAATCTTCTTGTTGTGGCAGCCATTCTCTATTTCTAATCTTGTATTATATTTTCTCTTTTCATTATGTTTAAGAAAATATTATCAAGTAATATCCAAACTTCCGTTAGACAACAAGATAATAGCCAAATTAGGTCACCCGTGTTGGATTAATCTCTAAAATTGTAAGATTATAGCTAACCTGGAACATAAAGACTGACCATGCTAAACTGCAAGACATTGGCTCCTGATGAAGAGTTCCAGTCTCTAGGGCTTCTTCGGTTCTTCCCCTAAAATCCTTGAGTACCTGCTTATTGTGACATAATGCAATGTGGACGTGTTGTGTGAGAACTTAAGGTCTTTCTTTTCACAACTAAAAATGTGAACAGTAGGCCAGCCTTCGATCGGGTTGAGTTTTTCGGGCCACCTAGTTATTTATGACATATATCTTGTTAATTGTTTACTTATTTGCTCAAATACATTATAATCTATGAATTCCCTTGGAACCTGTGCAGTTTATTGAAACTAACAGTTGTTGCTTCCAGGTAGAGGTCGAAAGGATAAGAGGACGCGCTCATGGCAAGCTTATGAATAAGTTGGCAGCTGCAAGACATAAGGCTCAAGAAAAGCGAGCAGCAGCGGAGGCCAGGAGAAACCGGCAAGCAGCGAAAACAGAACATCAAGCAGAGTACATTCGCAAAACCGGTCGCATCCCGTCCTCGTTTTGGTGTTGGGGTTGGTGCTCTTGATATCGGAATCACAATCTGCAAATGTATGTCCATGTTAATGTAAAAACCTAAAAACTTTATCTGGCTTATCCTATGAATGCCGGAAAGTAAAGTACTCAAGTGTAATTATCGTCAACATGGCGAAGGGTAATGCTGTCACTTTGCTTAAAATATTTTGTTTGTTCTTTCCACCTAAAAAGGGTAATATTGGCATTTCACATTCTGTTTCCACGAATGTGGATTCTGATTTTAAAAAAAAAGAAAGAGAGATCGGATCTTCTTTGTGAGAATTTCGGATCACATTCGTTCATCGTACATTATTCGATCAGTTTTTATCAGGTGTTATTTATATTCAATTTTGAATAAAAAAAATTTACAATGATTTCTGATCGTACGATGTAGATGAACGGATGTGATTGAAGCATCATTCTAAAACAAAATGGTTTTCACCGTGGTTGTGGGACCCATGAAGGAATAAAAAGGGTAAGCACCCAGTTTACAATTTATTGCTTCCGAAAGGCATCGATGTCCGGTCTTCCGAAGTGAACCAAACACCAACGAAACCACTTTGCCAAACAAAAACCTTGCGTATCTATGTCACAAAATAACAAACAAGTAAGTCACGATGTCACCTGAAGTACTTACCACAATGATTACAATGACATGAGTTGTCTCCTTGGCTTGGCTGGAATGCGTATTGAAATTATTTCAATTTTTAATTTTTTATGCGTTTGCAAAATATGAGTATTAAGGTTGTTTTGATTTTTGACTTACCTTAAGAATATGCGGGATAAAAAAAAAATATGTAGATTTCACATGAAGTTTAATGATCCAATAAGTAAAACGATCGTAAACTGTATTATTTAATTTTCACTGAGCAGTCAATGCTTGGGAACGAATACCGAACCCATATTCTGTATACACATCATGGTTTAATTCTTGACGTTGGTAAATCATATGATGGTGCTTAGGAGGAGGTTGAAATGCCTCTATGAGTCTTACATGCCCTTTCAGGGTGGACTGTCATGGTGATGTCACTAGCTGGTCCTTTTTTTGAAGAAAAAAAAATTGTATCGTTTAAGAAGAGTATTTGAATTATGTTTACTTAGCATACACGTAACACATTTAAATTTACTTCATAATATGAGTATTTGAATTATCTCTTTCATTATTTCAAACTTTTCATTTGCTTACATATGAGTATGACATTCTACACATTTACATATGGAATAAAAAACAAAAATATAGCTATCACGTTAGGGTTTAAAGTCGAAAACCTATTTGCAATTAGATTGATATTAGAAGAATAGTGAAGTCGGTTCTCATTTTTCCTAACCACCTCGACTGACAATTAATAATTTTTTTTCTTTCTAAATAAGTAAACATGTTACTCTTCGTGTACACGACTTCTATTCATAATATCAACTATTTCAAATACATAAACATAAGTAAACGAAATTGGAAAGTGTCCTCTTAGATTTAGAAAAAATAGAGTGGGTGTGGTGAGAAATATGTGCAATATAAAGGACCCCAATATAAACACCCTATTGCAAATTTTATCATACTATCAAATTTTTATTTCTTTTAAATAAATAAAAAAAAACTAAGGCTTAGCTTAAATCCTCATCATCATATCATACCCCCAAACACTTCCTCGTTCTCTCAATCTCTCTCTTTCTCAGATCTTTGTGGCGGCTCTTCTTCAAGATTGGATCGGCCTCTCCCCCCCTCTCTCTCTATCTTGGAATCGATCTGATTCCGTCACGGTCCGCCGGAGTCTCAACCCAATAGTCGCCATGGTAGTCGGCGCACAACCACAGCAGCAGCAGCAGCTACAACAGAAACCGCCGCAGCAGCCGGAAACTTCGGCCGAAGAGGAGGCCTTGAAGAGGAACACCGATTGCGTCTACTTTCTCGCCTCGCCTCTTACCTGCAAAAAGGTTTGCCCTTTGTCTTGATTTGAGTTTTGTTCTGGGTATCCTCGCTTTCAATTTTAGGGTTTTAGGTTTTCGTTTCTGGTAAGATTTTTTGGGATGGGCCGAAATTGTGGTGTAATTTCGGCTATAAGTTTCAGATTTACATTTTTTTCATGCATTGGAATTAGGGTTTCTGGATATGTTTGATGCAATGAATTTCTTTAGGTTAAAGTATGTTCCTTTGGGTAATCTTGATTTTCCTAGTCTTAAAAGAAAATGATAAAAACCATTGTCTCAAATTTATTTGTATAGCACAAGGGCTAATTATGTTAAATTGCTGCCAGAATATGTATGTGATAAGTTTGTTAGAATCAATCATGGTTTCGAGGCCTTGAAATCTCGATGAGCTTGCTTTAAGGGCTGATTTAATTAATCTATGAGAAGCCTTATTTCGAGTGAATATATGTTAGAACATGGTTCTTGCAGCTCAAAATTAATCCCCTTTTTCATAGTTTGGCGCATGTTAAATTTTTTCGTTAGCCTGCTTGATTGCATTGTCTCTGTTACTTTTGATTCTGAGCTGGGAAAAGTTAGTTTGTTACATAATATGGAGTATACTTCAGTCTCCTTATGTCAAGTCTCTTTATGTCACAGGGGATGCTGTTTTTTTTTTTTTTTTTTTTTTTTTCAGTTTAGTTTTTGGTGGTTATCATTTGATACGTGGCTTAGTGGATTCCTGTGTTTGTTATTTGAAGTGTCTTATGTAAAGCCAAAAAGCATGTTTCTGTACTAACATACCATCAGTACTGTTTTGATTTCCTTCGTGCTAACCTCATTGATGCCCTATTGACAGGGAAGTGAATGCGAATATAGACACAGTGAGTATGCCCGGGTCAACCCCAGGGATTGCTGGTACTGGTTGAATGGCAGTTGCTTGAATTTGAAATGCGCATTTCGGCATCCAGTAAGTCTCTTCTCTCTCTTATTTTATTTCATGTTTAAACCTGTATAAGAACGTTCCTTCTTGCCTGTTACCACCACCACCTTTGTCTGACATTGTCTCTGACCATCTATTTTTCCTGTACAGCCGCTTGATGGCTTGTTAGGAAGCCCGGCAGCAAATTCTGCTGGACCTTCCTTGCCTCTATCACATCCTGTGGCTACGTCTACAACGCCTGCAATTCATGCTGCTTATAACCCAAGTAAACAAGCAGTCCCCTGTATTTTCTTCCAAAAGGGGCAATGTTTAAAGGGTGACAGATGTGCCTTCTCTCATGGACCAAATCCTATGGCTAGTAGTAAAGTTCTACAGGCACCAGCTGCTGCCCACGGTACTGAGCCTTCAGGTCTTAAGAAGGCCTTCGGTGGCCTTCAAAAGTGCACTCAAGAGTTGAAGGTTCCCATGGTAAGTGCCATGAAGTCTGTTGGATTGCCTCCTGAAGCCAAACCTGCTCCAAAAATTCCAACTGCTCCAATTAGAAATGGAGTTAGCATTGAGAGGAATGTATCATCAACTAAAGCATTGGATGATGAGGCTCTCAGATACAAGGCAACAAGTGTTCCGCCTGTTATCAACGGAGGCTCTACAAGTCAGGCCAATCATTTGCTTCAGGCTCATGTTTCAGACGATCATGGTTTTCAAAATGGGAAGGATGCTGATGAGCATTTGAGGGAGTCTTCTCCTGGATTTGATGTTCTTGTAGATGATGAGCACGGAGATTCTGATTACTACCACGGCGAAGAACGGTTTGGAAGAAGAAGAGGTCATGAGGGAAGGAACTTGAATTCTGTGAACGAATATGATTTGGACCGTCCCGTTGATCACACTTCAATGGCTGATGTCGATCGAGAAAGGTTTTGTGACCCATATGATCCTTATGATCGCATGCAAGGGCAGTACGCATGGGACCAGCATAGGGTTTCATCTGAGAGACAATTAGTGGGTCCTGCTCGTCTTGAGAGGAGGGGTTATCACAAATCTGAGAGTCCGGAGAACATTGCTGAGTTAGATCTGCGACATCGTTTATCCAAGCATAGGAGGGTAAACGGTCTGAGAACCATTGTCAGCCATGATTATGCAGTGGACGGCCATGTTGAGGAGCGGAACAACCGTCCTCGTAGGGATTCACAGCAGTTGCCCCCACACGAGGGCTCCTGTAGTAGTCGTCTTCATGGTAGAATAAAGATTCCAGGCGGGTCTTCTCCCGTCAATGGTAGTGACTTGCGCCAAGAAAGGGAAGTTGACAGAGCTAGAAGTAGAGGCAGATTGTCACCCGGGAGGCCACAGATATCCTCTCATCAAGGAAGGCTTAGAGACAGAATAAAAGGAAGGGTAGAAGAGGACTACTCTAATGAGAGGAGAAATTTTGGCGCTTCTCGTGTTAGGGGAGAGATAATGGATGATCGAGGTGATGACTTTTCTCGTCCAAAGCGTCTTCCAGAGCTGAAAGTTGTGAAAGATGCAGAAATAAGGAGCAATCTTACCTTGGAAAACGGAAAAGTGTGATGGATAATTATCAACAAGCGGAAGGTGATCTGTCATTTGAAGGGCCAAAGCCTCTCAGTGAAATTCTCAGGAGGAAGAGAGAAGCTGAAGCAGCAGCTTCTGGAAGCAGGAAATCATCTGCCACAATAAACGAGGCAATAATAATCAGAGAGAAAGCAGGGAGAGCGATCCAGGCGACTCCCAGACTGCGGTTACAGAGGTGAATAACAGTCTGCCCACTGCGGCGAAGGAAGAGCCCAAGTTGGCAACGGCCGATGCGGTTGGAACTGAAGATGAGAAAATTGACGTGGTTCATGGTCAGTCTTCAGAAGGACATGAGGCTGAAGAGGGTATGATATATGAGGAGGAAAACGAAATCGAAGGTGAAGATCAGAGAGAAGGAGAGTATGATTACGAGCAGGGGGACGAGGGTGACTATAATTATGAAGGTGAAAATGCAGAGGGCGAAGAGGAATACCTGGAAGAAGACGAAGACGGGGATGACTTTGCTAAGAAGATTGGTGTCGTGTTTTCGTGATTGGGCATAGGGGATGATGGAAAAGCAACGGAACGAGGATGACGGCTCTTCCATAAATAGTGTGGAGGACCTTCCAAACCTAATTTAGGTGGTTGGTTCCTGATTAAGTAAAACCATGGCTGCTCGGGTTTCTTAGTAGAATTAGGGATTAGCAGGCCTTTTTGCCTCTGTTATGACAATCGAAACATTTTCGTTCTACTTAAAATCTGATTTAATGGGATTTTTTTCACTTTGTGCTTGAGGCATTTTGCTGTGCTTGTTTGAGTGCATGACTGTAGCCTGTTAGCCTGCAACAACAGATGGTCTCGATAAGATTGCTCTCTAGTGTCCACGTATTTTCTTTTCCGTCCACTTTTCAGTTATCTTTCCATTTTTTTTGTTGCATTGCATGGGTTGATAACTTTGAGATTACAAGGGATCATGCAAATTTTGACCCATTTTTTTTGTTGCATTGCATGGGTCGATAAGATTGCTCTCTAATTGCCGTTTTATCAATGTATCTTCTTTAACTTGTTCATCATCGCATGCTAGAAGGAAGGTGACTACCTAATTATGAAGGTGCACAAAGGGGCACAGGCTGAGAGGCGTATGGTAAAAGTGAATTATTAACTGGAAGAAACGAGACGAAAGACGGGGATGACTTTGCTAAGAAGTATTGGTGTCGTGTTTTCGTGATTGGTTGCGAGTAGGGGATTCTGTAATTGGTGAGAAATGAGACAAATCGGAAACGGAGGAATTGGACGGCTCTTCTTCTCATAAATAAAGGCTGAGGAGGTACCTGTGGCAACAATACCTAATTTAGGTGTAAGATTTGTTCCTTTTCATTTTATATAATAAAACACTCAATAAGCTGGAGAGATCACTCGAGTGATTATATCTTAGTAGGGAGGATTAAAGAGATGAATTAAGCATAGGTCATCCTTTTTGCCCTCTGTTATGACAATCGAAACATTTTTCGTTCTTCTAACTTAAAATCTTGTAATTTTTATATAATGGGGAGATTTTTTTATCAGCTTTGGTGTTGCCTTGCAGGCAATTTTTGCTTTGATGGCCTTTGTTTGGAAACGATTGCATGAATGTTAGACCTGCTTCAGCCCTGCACCAGACAACATGAATGGGTCACTGAGATAAAGATAAAGCTCTCTAAAGTCCTACGTATGTAATATCTTTTCCGATTCCACCACCTTTTTCAGTTTCTTTCAATTGTTTTTTATTTCGTTGCAAATATTATGACATGGGAGGTTTCATTAACTTTTGTAGCATTAGAAAGAAGAGGAATTTTCATGCTATCCGCAATTTTTTGACCCCATCTCCTTTCAGTTTTTTGTTTGCACGTTTGTCATATTGAGAACTATGGTGGTGCTAACATAAGATACTCTCTAAAAATTTGGCCGAGATTTTATCTCTGTGGAAATGTTATTCTATGTAAGATTCTTTTAACTATATTGTGTTTGTCATCATCGCATGCTGACTCTTATCATACTATTTTGCTTTTGGCGCCTTTTCTTGTGTCGGCTTCAGGCTGTTCTCATATGCACGATTTAATTTCGCTGCCTGACCTTTTCACGTCATTGTCACCTAGAAATACCGTAGAGCGCAGCTTTGATTTTGAGCTTTGTGGTCGCCACTTGTCCGAAAATTTAAATATCTGGAAGCCATATATTGCAGTTCTAGACATTGTTCTATTCTGTATGCAGATTAGCTGGGAAATGTTTGTGTTAAGGTGAGTAAGTGTTAGATATCGATGTGGTCGACAAGGAATGTGCGCGTCCTCGTCTCCGGGATTGTGGAGTGCTGGTCTGACCTGTGTCGATTCCACGGATGATTAGATAGTTTTAGTTTAGCAGTTGCAGACTAAATGCTTGAGGCCAAGCCGAGAAGCTGTTTCTTGAGGATGGGACCCCGATTCTGCACATATCTTAGGTTACATAAGCCATCGGCAGAGCCATGACGATTTAAGCGATATCAGAGGATATTTTTGATCACAATGGAATAGAGTAACCTCTTCTGTAGTGTGTTCTGCGCAAGTGTATATGACCCCACTCAGTTTTTTTTCCAATCTGATCAACTCTCTTTATTGATGATTGGATTATATGTGCAAAGAAGGCGATTTCGTTGTATGGTGTGTTAGTTTTTTGCTTTGTGTATTGCCGAACAATTGGCTGAAGAACGGATGGTGAGTGTGGCGTTTGAGCACCTGTTTTAAATTTATTGTAGTGTTAGGCACACTGTTAGATTATTAAATCCCATTTTTCGATGATAATTTACATTGCGTACTGTTATAAAGAGCTGTACACACGGGTGGGTTTGGTAAGCAGATAAGGTACTACGTGGTGTAGCCCCTTGTATTCTAATTTGCACACAGTTTGTTTGATCCGAGAGCTTGTTGCACTTATGAGACAATTGCCAGGATACTGTTTGAAAGTCATAAGCATCACATTCAATCTGCTTATCTCTTTGTCAAATGAATAATGTTTGTTATCTACTTATAAGAAAGGAGTTAAGATCTTCTAAGGAGAAAAGCCCATCTTGTTTCAACTATCACTTGATATATATTTTGAGATGACACGTCCTCCCGGATCAAGCATAGTCTAGGCCGTGTACTAAGTTTTTCCTATATGTGTTTACAAAGCGCTAGTTTCTTTCTGGTCTGAAATTCGCTTCCAATCCACATGTCTCAATAGAGGCTGTAGAACACTAAAGCTATCAAGTTAATGTTCAAGTTAGAGCAGTTGAAGAATGTGGGTGGAAATGGTGACAGACGACTATCAAAAGAGAACTTGAAAACACAAGTACTATAATGTTCTTAAAAAATCATAATATCTCTTGCGAACCAACAAATAATAAGATGAGAACAGAACTCCATAGCGTGCAACAGTATGACTAATCTTTTTTTTATCTTAACGCACAAGCATCCTTCGATCTAGCCAATCTTTGAATAACCACTTGTTCTTCTATTTATAATTAATTAACGACGAGATGTTCACTATAGTAGGAATAGATTCTTAACCATTTTCATGGTTCAGTATTTTATATCTTTCTTAAATGGAATATCTCACACAACTCTCTCATTCAATATAACCGCTGTGGAATGGTTTTTTCGCTTGTCATCCTGTAAGAGTTCGTGATGTTACATAGATCAGTGAATCTTCACATACAACACCAGACCAGTTGAGAACAATAAGGAGTAAAACTGGTTCATTATGCAAACTAAACTCTCTCTAACTTTGAGGACTACTTTGGAGATTCGTCAGAACAAGAGATTTCGTTCTGACCACATTCACTCTCGGAGAGTGTACCACCCAATACTAACTAAGTCACTCTCACATCAAGTGTTGCGTGATGAGATCCGTTAAAGCGCAGGGGGTGTGGGGGGAAAAGTATCCTCGGAAATAATTCGGCCAAAGTGGGACACATGTTCTTCTACAGCTGAACGTTCCTACAAAAATCGAACTTTTTATAACAAGCTGTTTATAATTTACCTGACTACAGAAGCAGTATGCAATAATATTTACTTATTGAGTAATTTTACTAAAAATGCAGCGCATTAAATAATGGTATTTGTCAGATCTTAGTATTATATGACTCTAACAGAGACAGTATGAAAGGCATTAGCTATGCTTGTCTTTTTCAATTGCTCATATGCAGGCATGAGTATTTACACGTGTTTCACTATCGTTCTTAGTTGAATAAGTGAATAAAACTTAGCCTGAGAAGATCAGCCAGAACAAATCTATTATAGCACCTTCATCGACATTGTCTCAACTATGTCAAAGATTTGATGAAGAGCGCCATATAACTGGTTAAAATCATAAACGATATGTGTCCCATTTGCGGATACCTCAGCCCAGGCAATAAATAAATCCAAATCTTTCTTTAATATATATGAAATATTGTATCTAGATCAGATATAACTCCGCTTAGCGACAATGTCAATTGACCGCTCAGTATACAAACATATAGACTCTGGTCCACAGTCTGTGTATATGTTGCCTTTGTGACACAAATTTTGCTCTGATTGGCCCTGAGCGATGTTCCCAAACTACACTACTGTGCTGTACATTTTGCTTTCCTTTTGGTCTCGCAGCCACCGAGAAATAGCTTTAAGTAGATAGAATTAAGCACCGTGACTATCGTTCAAAAGGATCTGCGACCATCTAATCACAGACAATAATTATATCTGATCCCGAAAAATGATGATACATCAAAGATAATGAGGACATATGCGGGGAACAAAAAATTATACCCGCTCCAACAAAACGCTTTTCTAGTAATTGAAACGTCTATGCTAGCTGCGATACTTTGTACAATAAATTATGATGGAAACATCTGGAGAGAAGCGTATTTCTTCTTGCAGCTGACATCGTTTGGAGCTGTGGAATTTTTCTAGCAATGTACATGTAAGTGTTATGATGGACCTCTCATAGGACTATACAAGAGTTTCAACACTCTGGTATTATCATTTAAGCACTCTATTTACGATATAGAGAAAATTGTCACCCTTGTAGGTTGCACAAGATGCGTATACTTAGTATTCCACCGTCCCGCTCGAGCGAAGGTTTAAGATATTAGTCTATTCAGAACTCTAAAATTGAGAAACCGCGTTTAACCTCATTCACAATCGAGGAGGACAATAGCCAGCCATTTCCAAATTGATGCGACTGTATGGCGGTAGGTGAGTATTACTGGCATGCGGTATGATCTTCTATTTAATTGGCTAACACAAACCTTTTATGATTGCCCAAACCAGGGGTTAGTCCAACTGGTACACACAGCAATGAAAAACCTGGTCTACCAAACTACCTTTAAGGTTGGATCAAGCTTGAAACTTTATAATGACAGCATTTTCTCTAAGCGAGAAGCACAGTTATGTGTCAGTGATCACATAAATTTTGCGAAACGTGTCCAGACACTGGAAGACAGTCCTTTGCCTCATTAAGTATAGATTCTTCTCTTAAGCATTTAGTCCGTATATTTCTTCATGGTCCCACTAAGTCTTTGAACCTCCCGCCCGCCGACCACGACGTGTCTCATTTTCTATAATGTTCTATGTTTCGTGGGTTGAAGACCCTTCAAATCTTTTTTTTCCAAGTAGTCTAATTTTCTCTAATTGTATATAGTTTTTCTCATAGTTGTTTTTGTAATCTGACATGATGTGTTGGGGTCGTTTTTACATGTCATTTTTTTCAAGCTAGTTTTTCAAGTCTACAACTACCTGTTGCTAGGTGGGAAGTTTCAATGATGAAGAGTTTTGATTAGATCTTATATGATCACTAATTCTTATTATTAAAATTA